GAAGGCGGGAGATGTAATGAATCCTTCAACATGGAAGATACCCTCAAGCACAACCCAATCGGCGATAACAAAGACGACGACGACCATGAGGTTGATAAGGAAGATATTGGTACCGTCGACAGTATACTTCCAATATCGTGTTCCTACAGCACGGTATGTGCAAAGGAGAACCGACGAGCTCGGGCCATCATCTTCACGGATATATCTAATATCGGTCTCGAAGGATAAAGCCAGAGGGTGTCGTCGAAGGTGGTCAAACAGCAAGAATGTGGCCTTGCCCATGGGGATCCAGAAAACCAAGAACCAACAGATGCCGGATACAAGGAGGAGCAAAGGCGAAATGAGACAGTAGAAGAAGATGAAGAAGATGACACGGCCAATATTCCACTGACCACGTCCAAAAAGTCGTCTCTTGAATCGGGGAGGGAGCTCCGCCGTTTCACCGCGTCGGCCACGACCAAGCAAGCTCTCTGTCTCGCTGGGCTCGGAATCGATACTTCTTCTCGAACGTCCAACAATTGAACGATTACGATCAGGCCCAAAGAACAATCGGCCGTACTCGAGGTCTCCGCTTTGCCATTGCTCGTATTCAGAAATGCTGCGTCCTTCATCTTGGTCCTCATCCATGTAGGTCTCATCCTTTTCCAGACGGACAAACTTGCCAAAGGGGTAAAACAGATATCCTGCGAGACCCCAGAGAATTCTTCCATACTCTCTCCCACTAGGAGCGGCAGAAAAAAGCAGGCATACGATGGCGCCAATAGCTGCAAATGAAGCCAACCACCAACCAAATAGAAGGGTCCAGAGCAGATTGAAAGCGAGAAGCCAGCTGCTCACTCTTCCGCCAGGCGCAGAATGAATATCTGCTTGTGCAAACTTCTGAATTGAACGATCCTTCTTGTACAATGCTGGCTTCCATACACGAATACCGAAGGGGTGAGTCTGGTTGATGGCCTGCTGTCTATCTTTGAGGGTGAAGCTCTCAGCTTCACTGACGTCGCCATCTGAGTCGTCCTGGCCCTCGACTGGAGTAGTCTCTTCCTCATCCCCTTGTGGTTCAGCAGGGCTCTCGGTCGATTCGTCATTATCGTCGTTGGTGTCGTCATTTTCATCGTCTTCATTCGTACGCGATTGAACACGGGAGAGTTGGGTTGGGAGCTGAGGTCTACGACGATATGATTGTTGACGCTCGGCGGCATCGGCTTCTACCTCGTGTACATCGTCATCGGCTGAGAAAACACCGCCGCGATAAGGCGTGTTCGAAGATGGGCGTCGAGGCATTGGTGGCTTTCGTAGTCGAGTAACGGATCGCATTCTCTCGGGGCCTCTCGAAGGACGCGAAGATTGGGTAGCGCGAGCCGAGCTGCGCTCTTGAGATGTCTCTTTTGATTGTTGAGCTGAGCCTGAAGCACCTGGACCGCTTATCGAGCCTAGGAATATTTAAAATTAACCCCGGTCTCTCGCCAAGAAAAGGCATAGAACCTACCATAACCCTCTGGTCTCCGCCGCACAGTGTCAGTGGACTGGAAGCTTTCTGACAAGCCCTCTGCTTCGCGAAGAACGGCAGATTCGGCCTGGGCAAGCGGATGGCGCGTATCCGATGGAGATGCATTGCCAGACGAGTCGCCAAGTTGATGCCCAGTCGACGAGCTCTCCCGGCTCGAGGGATCCATAGTGGAACAGTGGTACTGCAATCAATGGTCGAGTAATAGGCGATTTTATCACAAGAAACTTTTGTTTGATGCAAAAAGGTGAACAAACAAGAGAAGGCAATAAATAAGACACAGGCTCACAAATGCGATCAGACGTAAGCTGTACCTATCTCTATACTTGAGAAAAAAGAGGGAATGCCGAGCATGCCAATGTCACGATGCAGCGCCGAGAAAGTCGTACAGACGATGCGACGCGATGATCAAAACGGCCCAAGCAACCAAGAATCGCGATGAGACGAAGGATTGGGCAGCGGGATAGGCAGGACTGTGCTCAGTTGGGTTTGAAAATTGAGATGAGCACAACTGAGACGAGCTGGAATTTGTTTCTTTTCTGGACAAGGTTAAGAGAGAGAGAGAGAGAGAGGGAGCTGATGAGGGAAAAGAGATGGACAGAGTCTCCGAGCAAGCAAGTGAGTATCTGGTAAAATGATGTTACTCAAGCTGCAGTGAGCTTTCCAAGAAAGCGCAATAGACTGCGCAAAGAAGGAATCAAGGCAGAGAGTGCCAAATAAATCGTGAAGGCTCACAATTGACTCCTGTTATTTTACGGGGGAAGAAGGAATGAGTTTTCAAGTTCCGTGAGCTGAACACAAAGAAAGTTTACTGTAGTCTACATACAGTACTGTATCCAACTCAAAAATTGATGGATCACTCTCACAAATCGACTCTCGCTATGTACATAAGACGATAAACAAGCTAGACCATACCATCGACATCGACAGAATCAGCCCCTAGTCTAGCTCCTTTGCCTGGTCCACCTTAGCCAAGCTCGCAGCTCGTGATCAACCAACCTTTCCCATAACAGCTTAGTGTGTCTTATCGCACCTTGCGCGTGTTCAACCTCGTCCAATGATTCGACGTCATTATGCATCCCCAGGGTCTTGGTTGGTAGCAGACAGGCGGCTCTTTGCACGACAGTTGACTTGATCAACAGAGGGGTACCGAAGGTAATCGATGAGATGTCCGAATTTCTGAGAATTCTGAGGAAGATCATGGGCCAAGAGTCAATATTCATCCGCTTTGGCCGGGTGCTGATCAATCTTCTTCCCTAACCATATCTTGATACCTTAACAGCCGATGTCATGTCAGCTTCGATGAGCCTTGCATCAACACCTAAGCGGTCTAGTGTGTCTCAGTGGGGGTAACGCGGCAGAGAGCGCTGTGGATGGCGGAGTTCCACTACGAGTGGCAGCCATGAGTCTGTACACTTGACGACGTTGTAGACCATATGAGAACTTGACACAATGAAACGGCCCTTGAAAGACTCTGCATCTCACAAAGATACTCGATATGCAAAAGGAACCACGTTGGGCTGCCACAGGCCATAAACTTCATCTGTCACACTGTTGAAGAACTAAAAAAATATAATTCTCGGCTTATACCATCACAGTGGTTCTAACCGAACCTTCTGCAAAACTTACCCTAGACCTGTAGTCGCCCGGACGACGGCACAACATAACGCCGACCTTCGAGGGCAGCTCCCACAATCTGGTTGGCCCGTGCACTCATTCGCTCTGGAGGATTACGAGACAAGCTGTAGCCTTGCCATCGAGCTTCAACCTCATCGCAAACCATCAGCAACACACCCAATCCCCGACACGCATCACTATCTCCGCCTACGCCCCGAACCCGCGAATCTGGCAGTTCGTGCCAAATCTTATATATCTACCCCCCGAACAATATTTATCAGCTCGTTTCCCTGACGTCAAGGGAGCTTCGCCAACATGGCGCTCGACGAGTACTACCACAACAAGATCGAGGCTATGAAGCTTGAGATCCTTAAGGGACAAGCCGCGCTTCGTCGTCTTGAAGCTCAGAGAAATGACTACAACTCCCGCGTGCGATTGTTGAGGGAAGAGCTGGGTCTGTTGCAACAGCCTGGTTCCTATGTCGGAGAAGTCGTCAAGGTCATGAGTACCAAGAAGATTTTGGTCAAAGTCCACCCGGAAGGCAAATATGGTATGCTCACCCAGGTCATCTAGCTTAGAATGCTAAATACTAACGATTCTTCAGTGGTCGACGTATCGGATAGTGTTGATATCGGCAAGCTCACACCAGGAAAGCGAGTCACCCTCCTGTCCGATAGCTACAAACTCGAGAAGATGCTCCCCTCCTCCGTCGATCCTCTCGTCTCTCTCATGATGGTGGAGAAGGTTCCCGACAGCACATACGACATGATTGGTGGTTTGGACCAGCAGATCAAAGAGATCAAGGAAGTTATCGAACTTGGTCTCAAGCACCCCGAGCTTTTCGAGTCTCTTGGAATTGCACAACCCAAAGGTGTTTTGCTATACGGCCCCCCTGGTACTGGAAAGACACTACTGGCACGAGCTGTTGCTCACCACACTGCTTGTAAATTCATTCGAGTGTCAGGTTCCGAACTGGTCCAGAAGTACATTGGTGAGGGTAGCCGAATGGTGCGAGAACTCTTCGTCATGGCTCGAGAGCACGCGCCATCCATCATCTTCATGGATGAAATCGACAGCATTGGTTCCTCACGAGTGGAGGGTTCTTCAGGAGGAGACTCAGAAGTCCAGCGAACTATGCTTGAGTTGCTGAACCAGCTCGATGGTTTCGAACCCACTAAGAACATCAAGGTCATCATGGCCACCAACCGTCTCGACATTCTCGACCCTGCCCTCCTGCGCCCAGGACGTATCGACCGAAAGATCGAGTTCCCCCCGCCCAGCGTCGAGGCCCGAGCGGATATTCTCCGCATTCACAGCCGCAAGATGAACCTCACCCGTGGTATCAACCTCACCAAGATCGCGGAAAAGATGAACGGGTGCTCTGGTGCTGAGCTGAAGGGTGTGTGTACGGAAGCAGGCATGTACGCTCTCCGAGAGCGAAGAGTTCATGTCACACAAGAAGACTTTGAGCTTGCCACGGCAAAGATTCTCAACAAGCACGACGACAAGGAGGTGTCTCTCGGCAAGCTTTGGAAGTGAGAAAACTGCAACAAGGGGCGTTCTTTAATTTATCCATATTCTTGTCGTCTCTGCTGCTGGTTAACCTGCTGGGTTCGCAACAGAACCTGGTCGTTCATAGATGGGTTGGGTCATGACAGCGGGAGGGGAGTTGTAAGGATAGAAGATTGTACCATAATGGAAACACGATCTCAAGCGACACAAGTATGTTCTCTGTAATACGTGAAGTTGTGTGCATGTATCAAGTGTATGCATCAGGATAGTCGACTATAAATACAGCCTGATCAAGGGTGCTTTCATCTACCTACATATCTGGCGGGATTTATATGTGACTATTGAGAGGCTGGTGTTTGGGGACGTACCAAAACTTGATGACGTCTGTCTGATCTTGATTTCGCTGCACCGTATCTCGGAACTCGGCTACTGTCCTTTTGAATCCGAGAGCTGTTGAATCGGCTTCTCCTATTTTGCTTCAAAACACAAAGCCATTCAAGTCTCTCCTCGGTGTGGCTACATTCGCTTGACGGGCAGCCCTGTGTAATGGCTTCATTCATCAATCTAAGCAGAGGACTTGTGGACAGAAGGAGTTGTCGACTCGTAATTCGAAGTAACATGGCTACTTATGTTGCTACTATATATGCTAGTTACGCCTGATGTGAGCTCTTATGATGAATTTAGGGCTCCATATGGCGAGCTTATGATAATATAGCCTAAGCTTTGGATATAGACCCTAAATGTTATCTAACTTTTATAAGTTTAGTTGTGAAATATGTATATATTATGCATCTTCGATAACAGCTGCGGCCATTATATGCAGCAGTTTTGGACTTCCTTCTCCCTTTCCCAAGATCTCGAACTGCATGTCGGTCGGATCGCCCTCAATTCAACCAACGTCGCCGTAGGCCACCTGCTTTGTCGCCGACATGGTGAGGTTGGAAGATGTACGAGCCATCCAAAGGTGATGCCGGGCCGAGCAGGCCTTACAAGAACATCCGATATGAGAACGTCGCAGCCGACATCGAAGCGCTACTCGAGGCCGACAAGAGACACTCGGAGCCAACTCGTCCAGGACAGAGAAAGAAGGCAAACAAACGACCAGGCGCTTACACCAGAGCAAGCACGACTGAACCTGCATGAAAGAATGCAGGCCTTTCTGGCATCCCCTCAACCCTATCGGCCAACAAGATTCCGAATGCCCACGACTCCTGCCATCCACAAGTTTATCACTGAGATCGAACGTATCCTCGAACATGATATTCCTGCAAGCGAATGTGACTATCTTGATGAGTTCTGTGAGGCTGCCATGCCGGACATCAAGTATTGGGACGAACATGGATACCACACCATCTACGACGAAGAGCGAGAGAACGAGAAGAAGCGCATGAAAGAGGCTGGCGAGGCAGGGGAAAAAGTCAAAGAAGGGGATCAGACTGACGATGCGGTGCCTCCCCGGAACCGGCGTCCAAGATCTCACATCTGCAATCGCTAAAATCGAAGTATTCAGTAAGCATCCTCTACATTGATACAAAGTTAAATTAAGCGCTAACATTCATCAGACAATTCTGAGCCCGCAGAAAGACGAAAGAGGCATCTCGGTGTCCGTTCCAAAGCTCATTACAAGAACTTAAACATTGATGACATCATTGCCCAGTTCGACAGCGTGGAAGATGGCGATGAGGATGGCGACGGACCGATGGCAGGCACGGCATATGAATGCACATCAAGTTGAATATTCTCATGATGAGTTTATGGAATCCAGACCCAAGCTTAGGGTTCTTAGGTCTCGAATTATGATAAGTTTACTAAACTTTTGATAAATTTATTAGGCTTAGGATGATATGGTCTAAGAATTTCCGTCATGTTGCTCCTTTTGGTGGATGAGAGTCAATTTTTGCTCGCCCTTGCATCAACAAAACGGTGATTCCTGGAACTGCATGCGGTGAATACGGTAAACAGCCAAAGACAACATGCAAATTGTCTCGAATACCATCGGCTGGTTGATTGACTTTTTCCCAGCAGTCCCATGCCCTTGCGTCGGAGCGATCGGTCCGCTGACATCTGAGACATGGATCGTGTGTAAGTCTTAGTTTGGCCAAGGCACGATTGGGGAAAAGTGAGGTTGGGAGCTGGAAAAGTCAGCAGATGATGAGACCTGGCTGAAGAGTCATGCTGGAGGAAGGTAGTTGCCATGGTGCAAGGGGCAGCTTTGGAGATATGTTTCAGATCTCCATTTTGGTGTTTGTGGCTTGAGCTTAATACTCCATGGTTGTTTTTGACGACTCATGAGGGAAACAGTTCTTGTCAGCAAGCTTTCTAGCTCAGTATCGGATGTGACCTATCAACTAAGAGGATATGAAGCATTCTTGAACCGCCGCTCATAGAACCCAGCCTCACAATGCCAATAACAGAAACATGGACCTTCAGCTTTCAGCTAGGAATGATGGGATCATTTGGATGACAGAACCTATATGTATGTAAAGCATGATGTAATGTGAAGGCTTCAGATATTATGTTGAGTCTAGGCTTCATCTGGCGAGTCTATGATCCTGAAGTTCAAGCTTTGGATCCCTGATCCTCGTCCTCATTGAAGCTATGTAAATATATTCGTAGTTAGGCATACAAGTACATGAATTCTATGGAGACCAACCACTATTTCCTCTTTGTATTGTACTATTGAGTCTCCCTACATGTCAGTGACCAGCCATGGCGTTTTCATACTTCAAAACGTTCAAACTAACGACCAAGACGTGTCGTTCCGTCCCACTTGAGCTCTATCAGACGCCGCTCGGGCGCCCCGACAACTGCCAGAGTTTCAAGAGCTCGAGTCGCGTGTCACGCTAAACAGATTCATGCTCGAGTCTAGAACAACAATAGAAGCTTGGTATTTCCATTAAAAACAGGTATTTCCAGCGCATGTGGATAGATGCTTTGGTCAGCTGATTGCTCTACCGGTGAGGCCCGATGCTTTATTTTGCGATCAAGATGAGGATTACTGTTTGGGCATTTGGTATGAGTTGATTCTCTGGCGGTGACAAGGATCGGGGATTGAGGGCTTGGTTTAAATCGTGATCTTGATTTGTAGGTGTTTTTGGTGATGTGCTTGTGACGGATTGTCGAGTAGGTCGTTACGAGTCAGTTGGTCATCGGTGATGTAGTGACTCTGACGGGCCGAATTAGTTCTGAACCGGACAGGAACAAAGTATGCGATATAGACTAGCTTCTTCGAAAACATACAAGCTCAAATGTATAATCGTAGCATAGTATCGGAAGAGTTTCTGTATTGGATATTTTGGGATAGCGTTGGCACGAATGATGTTGGACAACTGGGACTCGGACTGAGCACTCAAAACGGTACAAATCATTCACAATAGTTCACCATGACGTCTCTCGTAAACACACGAAAAGTATCAACAGTAGGAAAATATCATCGGGAGTGATTCTGTCCTCCCTGATTTTCAAGAACGAAGACTAAGGTCAGGGTACCACCCATCTCGAGGTTATACGACCAGTCGGAATAGAGAACCCTCAACTCCCACATCCCACCCGAGTGGCTACCAAATAGGCCATGTAATCAATTAAAACTGCATTTATTCTTCCTGCCTTATTTAGAAACCGAACTGCCTCGTGTCAACAACGTCTTGCATGATCGACATGTCTGGATGCATCGACGACAGGGATGTTATGTATGGACAGAACCACAACTGATTATCGACAATGACAATTTCCATAAGAACGAGGCTCATCTCAAGTCGACGATGTCATACCCAGTGTCTAGAACACACTGGCTCATGCGTTGTTGCTCAGCTGAAGCACAGCCTGAGCATCGAGAACGGTCCATCATACGTCACTGAGGTAGCATAGACCTCTATTGCGCAAGGCGTACAAGGCGTTCGGGACTCAGTCAGACTCAGTGGATCTTTGGGTGCCCATTTTCCGTGGGAACGGTTCTGCGGGTTTGTTCAACATGGCAAACTGTCAAAGTGGGATAATCTAGTCTATCAGGCACTCCTGGCTAAAACAACAGTTTGTTGTCAGTCTCGTGCCCCTCCCGCTCAAGATGCTAAAAGCCAGAAATTCAAGGGACCGCCTTGCTTCGATGAGGCTAGTACTATAAGGCGACGTCTCGTTGGCACCAGCCTTGGCTGAAGTTGGAAATCAACGCATGTTTCTCTGAACAACTAGCGGTAAGCGATTAAAGTTTCGATTCCTACTCGAACAGTTCCACTTTGAGCATTTGTCCGCAAAGACTTGAGTGAGATTGTTTTCGCCTTGGTCTTTCAGATTTGAGGCCATGCTGTTGGGTCTTTGTTAGAATAATCGCAAGCGCCGCTGATGAGTTTCTCTACTCGCGTGCAACCCTAGTTGAAGTGTTGATTTGATAATCTATCCGTTATGGAGGGGATGATCTCAGGGTCCAGGCCCTTCGATGTGGATGAACCAAAGACGTGACGGTGAGAAACATGCCTGAGGCTTCCGTCTGCAAGGGTGTGCTCTTAGCGTCAGTTAGATGGCCTAATCAGGAACCGTAAGGGAACCGTAGTGAAACGGCAGCTACTGTATTCTCGCAGGGCTTGGTTGATAATCGAGGCTTGTTAAGCTTCGGCCGGTGGAATATGGAATACCGAAAAGCTGGATAGTTTCGTCCGCGACTCGGACAAGGGCGTCGGACTGACATGTATCAGACAATCCTCGCATAAGCCCAACCCTGCTTATAATTGAGCATTACGTTTCTGATATTTGTCTGAAGCTTACCTTAGTCCAAGAAGTGGTCCCTGAAATCATCTCGCAACAAGGGAGCAGCATGAGCCAGACAGCCTTGAAACAAAATCATAATAGACCCAAGATCAAATCGCTAGCGGAGGAGCAGCCGTTTTTTGACATTAGCCGAAGCCGGGATACGGCATGGTTCCGATTCAGCTTTTGGGCGGATGGCTTTTCAGCTGAAACTCCGTTATTGAGCGGGTTATCAAGACGTTACAGTATTAAAAACGGTGAGCGTAAATGGGATGTTGCTGTACGTATCATCAATGACGTCATGCCGCAGGATTTAATTTCGTACAGACCTGGTCGAGACTCGGCATCAGACTTTACAACCGTTGACGCGAGATCTGACTACGCATTATCCAAAAGCTGAAGGCACAAAACAAAACCGTGATTCGCAATACGATTCGTTCTAGACTCTATCGACCGTTTCCAGCGATGTCAGAATGGGCAGAGAACGAAAAGGCGGAGATAATCAATACAATAGAAAAAGAAGCAAAAAAGCCGATGCGGACCAGTGACGTTGACGACGGCGCCACGCGGATTTCTGGTTGGTTCAAGCCAGACAAACAGATGCACACACGCCCCATCCCATGCCCGTTCCATTATTTCTTTCCAGGTGGGGACCCTTGACACTGCAATGACGATATGATCAGGGGAAGACTCGAGAGACGGTGACAGATTCGAGAGAGGGGGATGAAAGTGTGAAGATGATCTGGATCATCGTGGGACAGCGGAAAGAGATGATGGAATCTGCATGTTCGATTGAACTTTATTATAGTGCTGAGTTGTAAGAATGCGAGGGAGAGAGATAGTCGTTGAAGCTGCGTAATAAGCTTCAATAATATCTATTCTATCAGGCCAGTCAGGCTAGTACCTGCAGTTACTACTTTGTTGACGAAAGAGTTTTGATAGTTGAATCAGTTATACTACACCTATCAAAGTTTATTACCTGAAGCTATATTGAACCTCATTGCCCTGAATTATTGGCTGGGTTGTACGAACTCTCCTCAACCTCCACCGCCAGAAACCATCAAAAGATCAACTAAACATCTCAATAGGTAAAGACAAGCGTACGATTGCGAATTCAATGATCTTCAAGGGTCCTGTTGCCCACCTGCACTGCACGACTAAACCGAACAGTAACCAGAAACAAAAAACCACACACACACACATAACACAACTCCGGACCGGTGTCCCTCCCCCCCTCTGCAGAGCAAGCGTCCATTCGCTTGGATGATCTTTACTACACGCGACCACCCCTAGCCCCAACGACCGTTCTCACCGGGAGCTGTTTCTGCAGTATTATCCAGAACTGCTTCTATCTGTTCAACTGGTTGGTTCCCTTTGCACCACCCACACATTTCTAGTCGAACCATGCCACTATGAGATCGTCGGTTCAGCAGAGAATGACACAGGAGAAAAGATACCCTTTGGAAGTGTTTTATGCACTTTGACGTGCAGGTGTACGGTAGCCATGATCGACGTCGGTGACTGTACGGAGTAACCAGACTAAAAAGCTTAGGCTACTGCAACGATATGCCTCTTCGTGCCTCTTTTACAGTAAAATTTTTTATTCTTTCAGCCTTTTAGAGTTTCAGGATAAACAGGTCCCTTCTTGCATTCAGCCCTGGTCAGAATCTGGTGGTAACTTCTATCTTATCGGTATAATCGAACGATTTGGCCGCAAGTTTTCCAGGTTTTAACTGATGCAGCATTGCTTCTTCTGTACCGTCCGTGTTCTCGTCTCCCCACAGAGGACTCACTCCACTTGCAACGCTGACGCACGAGGACATGCGATACGGTAGGTTGCAGGGGACGTTACGGTAGAATGGTGGTACGTACAGTAGAGAACCGTATTCATTTTGACAGCTGCAGGTTTGGATTACAAACCTGTGTCCTCGGACATTATAAACGCCACGAATGCGAACAGCGAGCGACTATTGCTAATATAGGGGAGTCAGGAGTCTATGAATTTCTAAAGTCTACTAAGTATTATCTAAGAAGGCAAACAGAATAAATGTTTCTTCTTGTCTCAGCTTAACTATCACCCATTTGGCTGTTGATTGTCCTCTCTGATCCTCCTTTCTCCACCGCACGTCATCGTCCGCGAGACGCCACCGTCGCCATCCCACTGACCCGACGGTAACGGCGTTTTTTCCCCTCCCTGACCATGTGTGAGTGAGTGTGTGTACCCATAAACTTGTTGCCACCGTTCATCACCATTTCGAGCACTGCATCTGCATTTGTTCTTGTGAACGCCCTGTACGTGTGTTAGTGCAATACAACACGCCTTTCTGTTGTGCTACCTTAACTCATCTCAACTCTTCTCAGCTCAACACCATCTTTTGCTTCTTCTTCTTCTTCTTCTTCTACACCGACTGGGACTGACGGCACTAAAGTCTGGGGTCGTTGGAGGACCATCAGTAACGTCAGGACCCTTCAAGTCTGAAGTTCGGCTACCGTCTAATTTACTGTCACAGCCTCTGACCTCCCCTACGTTTTAGGCCATCACCCCCTGACCCCTACCAGGTTGACACCCCCAGCCCAGGGCCCCCCTCACCCCCCCTTCTTGGCTTGTTTCCAAGTCTTCCAGGGATCGGATTCATAGACCCCACCAACTGCCCGCTTCTCTTCTTGACCTAGCCTAGCCTAGCCTAAAGGTAGAGGGTAGCCTTCGTTCATCCATTCATTCATCTTTATCTTTGGTGCATTTGCATTTCTTAATCTACCTTGCCTTGCCTTACTCACACACTCTCACACTACACCACACTTGCACTCACCCTTCTCGGTCTTAGGTCCCCTCGTCCCCCGAGACCCTTATTTAGCTGAAGCTAGACTTACCTTACTCTGCTTCGAGCTACTACTATTTTCGATATAACCAACTCCAGGTCCCCTTCTTCCCAATCCATCACTCACTTTAATCTAATTCTCGACCTGTTCACCATGGCTTTATGAGCCTCGCTCAGCCTCTCTTCACCCCTGCGTCTCCAGAGATGACGTCGACTACCCCGATTACCGCCTTCGCTATGCATGACTCCAGGACTGGCGACCGGACGCCATTACACTATACAATGAAGACTCCTGCACGACACTCTCCCGGCGGACAGCCTCATTCTAATAATATTTCACATTCACGATCTAATTCGTATAACATCAACCACTCTCACTCTCAGACACTTCGACCAACTAAACAAACAAAATCCTCGACCCCTCTCGCCTCTCCCCGGATGCCATACTCAGTCGGCCAGAATCATCCTCCGCCCAAGCTCTCGCCTCGTGTCGTCTCCGACAACAGATCACCGAGCCCTAATTATTTTGGTCTCATCGTCGAATCAGCCAATGAACGTGGTGACTCCTCCTTGGGGCTCCCTAACGAGAATTGGAGCCCATCATCATCCGTAAAATCCTTCCAGGCTGCGATTCCTAAGCAGGTTCCTCTTGATGCCAATCCCGAGTTCGAGGCCTTTAAGAGACAGGCTGACTTCAACCGGGGCAAGTCGTTCGCTCTCTCCACCAGTCACTATGCTCAGCCGTCAGTGACATCAAATGGAGTTGCACCTGTGCGCCCTCGACCTCCAAGATGGCACACCCATGGAAGTGACACTGGCGGCCCATCGCCCTTTGGCCGTGGCTTGAGCTCTGCCAATGTCCGACCAGCCAGCCGAATGGATGTCGACCAGGACAGCATAGGGGACTCGGCCTATGTTTCCTCAGACTCGAAGCGTAACTCCGAATCATCTCTCTACGGCCATGTTCCAGCTCTTAATATGCCCCGATTTGACTCCCCGCTACCAATGGACCCTCTGCAGCAAAGAACGAGTCTAACTCGATCTGAAGATCGCGACCCTCGGCTATCTGTAATGGAGCATCGCCCCGATCCTCCTGATGCTCGAGATATGAGACGCTCGGCAACAGTACCAGCAACTCTGGAGCCTGGACAGCCTCACATGATCACAGGCCAACAACTACGGGATATTCTCCAGAGTGTGAAGCCAGAAAGATTGCTTATTCTTGACCTTCGATCATCACAGAACTACGCCCAGGCCAGGATTCAAGGTGCTCTCAACCTTTGCATACCCACTACACTTCTCAAACGAGCCACCTTCAACATTCAGAAACTTAAGCAGACTTTCCAGATTAGCTCTGACTCAGAGAAGTTCTCTACTTGGCAGGACACTGACTACATCGTTGTTTATGATGCTCACGCTTCCGACAAGCGCGATGCTATTACCGCTCAGAACATGATCAAGAAGTTCACGAGCGAGGGGTATACTGGTGGCACCTGTATCCTGAAGGGCGGCTTCAACTCTTTCCAGGAGAACTTCCCCGACCTGGTCGACTACCAATCAGCAACTGGATCTCCTGGAAAACCCGGTCCTGGTCACGGAGGAATTGCACCTGTCATTGGCGGAGTCATGCTTCCCAATGCCAACAACGACGTCAATCCGTTCTTTTCCAACATTCGCCAGAACATGGATCTCGCAGATGGTGTTGGTCAATTGGATGTATCACGACCTTCAGCCCTTGACTCACCTTCTCTTCCCCGCTGGCTTCGAGAGGCCGCCGCGAAGCCTGACCACGGAAAGAAGGTTTCGGACAAGTTCTTGCACATCGAGGTTGATGAACAGTCTCGAATGAAGGCGGCATATGCGGCTTTCAACCCCCAGAACAAGGATAAGCGAAGTCAGGTACAGCTCTGTGGTGTTGAGAAGGGAGTCAAGAATCGATACAAAGATATCTTGCCTTTCGAGCATGCTCGAGTGAAGTTGCAAGAGAAGCCTGAAGGTTCATGCGATTATATCAATGCAAGCCACCTCAAAGCTTCCCGAAGCAACAAGCAGTATATCGCCACTCAGGGACCCCTGCCCGCCACTTTCGAGGTATGTTGTCAGCCACTTACACTATGCGAAACTTGACTAACCTCTATTCAGGACTTTTGGTCTGTTATTTGGCAGCAAGATGTGCGTGTTGTCGTCATGTTGACTGCAGAGTCTGAAGGCGGGCAGCTCAAGTGTCATCCTTACTGGAAGGGCAGAGACTTTGGAGCTATTAGACTCAAGCTTCTGTCTGAAAAAAAGGTATCCCTTGACATCGACAAGCATAGGTCCGATCCCCATCACACGCCATCGGCTTCGGCCAGCGAACAGGGACGCAAGCGCGCAAACACCACGACAACATTCGAGTCTTCGACACCTACACCAAGACCAACCCAAGGCCCCACAGAGACGCCCTACGTAATTGTTCGCAAGTTTGCACTCTCTCATACCGCTCATCCTTTTGCGCCCATTCGAGAGATTACTCACTTGCACTTCCCATCATGGCCTGACTTTGGCACACCTGCACAGCCTTCACACCTGTTGGCGCTGGTTGAGCTGGCCAATGTCATGCAGCGTTCTGCTTTGCCTGTTGAGACTTCTTCAGTGGTGGGAGCCAAGATTACGTCACTTGAGTCACTTCCTATTACATGGTACGATGAGCCCGAGGCCAACTCTCGGGCACGACCAATGCTGGTACACTGTTCTGCTGGATGTGGTCGTACTGGAACATTCTGCACTGTCGACAGTGTTATTGATATGTTGAAGCGTCAGCGACAGGCCAAGATGGATTCGGTACGATCTCGTGATCATGACGGAGATGTCAATATGGGCGAGAACGGGGACATGTCACCCCGCTCTACCAAGCTCTTTAACTTTTTCACCCCTGGTCAGAGATCCAACATGGAGAGAAAGGTGGCTCGAGGCGGTGCAAACATCAACATCGACTGGTTATACGACGATAGCGTGGATCTTATCCAGAAGACAGTGGAGGATTTCCGAGAACAACGACTCAGCATGGTGCAGAGCCTGCGGCAGTATGTTCTCTGCTATGAGACAGTACTCGAATGGGTAACGAGGATGAATGAGCGAGCGTCAAGCGCTCCAAACGGACGACTACGAAGTGGCAGCCTTCGCCACTAAGACCAGGATGCATCACGAATAAGTAACGGTTTTCATGGAGCGCAACTGCATAGGGCACATGGAATAATGCAACAAACGGAAACTGGATGGATGGTACAGGCGTTTAATGGTTCCGCTGCGTGTGATTCTGATAAGGATGCTAGCACAGCGAGCATGCAATGCTTACGAAAGGGACATTATAAAAAATTAACGTTAAGGGGGACCTTGGTTTGATACTTACTATGAGTAGGATTGTCTCTTAGGGTTTTCTGTATAGTAGAACAAAAAGGTATGATGGAAGGAGAACGGAGCAACCTTGGAATCATGGGACTTGCATAGTAGGATCATTAAAGGCTACATTGCGTGCGCGCTTACCATTGCGAGAGATTCTTATTGTGAGATGTATAATAAGTGAATAAGTTGAGTTAACATGCTGTATCATGACTTACACTATTGTCTTGAGGATATGGAGCCACGTCTGTATCTATCATATATCATCGTGGAATTCTGTGAGCCCATCAATGTAACAACAATAGAGAATATTGTTATTCCAAATATATCGATCTCCTAATTGGTCGTTGTAGCTATCACGCGAGATGTCGAGGCGTATCTTGGCCCAATTGCAGCAAGTTATCCAGAATGGCACAATGCACAATCGCAATCTTGGCTCAAGAAAGCGTCACGGGAGGGGAAACACGTGTGATGACGTCGTATCGAGTACACATGCATGAATCTTGGGGGGGGATAGGCTTTCGGTAAACCAAAGATAGAAATGTCATGGCTGGGGTATGAGACGAGACGAGACGGGCATGACCGGGCTGGGGCGCTTCGGTACAGCGGGAGAGGGCCTCGTTTCAGTAATCGTCGACTTGGGAGGGAACGGATAAGGTTAGGTGATTTGCAGAATTGATGTGATTGATAATCGTGGAGACATGGTTCTGGTGGGTTCTTTGGAATGGATTAGAGCTCATCTTATAAGCTGACCTAATGGAACTCAACTCACTATCGTGGACTCGCTGTAAGCCAGTGAGCGAGTCCACTGGAGTTTAGTGGCCCAACTCCAGGCTCTCCAGGGATTCTGACACGTCCACGAAGCCGGGGCGTCAAAGTTTCACAATGTTCCAAGGGAAAAAAAGGGATCTCCTTCGAGTAACAACAAAAGAAAAAAACGTCCATGCTTTTGGTACTCGAAACTGGAACCTTCCTTCCTTCTTGTTAAACCCCCCACTTCCCTCCCTCCCCCTCTGTGCATATCCCTTTAAGGTAGTCGCGGCGCATGCATCCATCTCATCGTCCTTGACGGGTCGGGTCCTTCCCTTTCGTCGTCGCAAGCAGTGGAAAGAGCGGCACTTGAAGCCCCCAACTGCATATGCAACTGCAACTGCAACAACGGGAAAGTTCGAGTCCAACGATAAGGAATTACACTTCATTGGCTTGACTCCCCCGCCTTAACCTGGCATTGGTGTCTTCCACTGTTTTCCCTCCTCCAACCTCACTCACTCACTTCCATTCTTTTCTCTTTCCATCTTATCTTTATTCACAATAGCCTGACGCTTCTGTAAGCTTTTAATAAACGGCTTGTGCAATACTTATATTCTATCTCCCAAATTCCCCTCGTTTCTACTCCTCTACGTCTTATATACGCATTCGTTGCGACTCTTCGCGCAGTCTCTCATTTCAACCCTTCATCCATTCTTTGGTGGGCTCGTTTAGCGGATTTGAGACTTCCCCGTTTTAGCCTTCTGCTGCTGATTCAGAACCACCCACGGATCCCACTGCGCCACCAGAGTTGCCCTGACGAAACGCCCCTAGTCCCTCGACTCTACTTTACGCTTTCAGCGCCCAGCCTGACCTCAAACCGGCCTCCCCCATTTGGGCGTCGACGAGACGAATCTCCCGCCCTGGGATTGACTTTACTTTTATCATTGATTTATTCTTTGGTAACTTCACAACACGATCATTCAACGGTGGCCATGTCACATCCGCCATCAGCCGCCGACACGATGCGCCGCCTCTCCCACGACCTTGCAGAGCCGTCGCGCAATATCGAAGAGTCCAACGGTGCGCCCTCGGACCAAGAGATGGAAGATACACTTGATCTCTCCATGCCTCCTCCCGATGAGGAAGAAGAAGACGATGTCCTAGATGACGACTCGAGAATTTATACACCACCTCCCCACATTGCCGCCCGCTTCTATCGCCCAACGCAGGCTCGTCGCAGAGATTCGGCTGCCTCGTCGCGCCGCAACTCAATCTCGTCCGCACACTCGCGATGCTCTTCTATCCAACCATCAAGTCACCGTGGAGGTGAACAGAGCAAGCATGTCGCTCAACATCTTCGCCGCGCCTCGTTTCTTGAGGATCGCAGGGCGCGACTTGCCGATCGAGCGGCGCATGCCGAAAAGGTTCGCCTTCGAGCGGCTCTTGCTAAAGCGACTCATCGAGATACTTCACTTTCGGAGGAACGAGCCATTGCGGCACAGCAGGCCAGGGAGCGCAATTTGGCAGAGATTGTCGCCAATTGTGCGGAAGAAGTCAAGAAGGCAAAGCAGGTTGCCGAATTCATGAAAGAGAAGCGAGAGCAGGATATTGCCCGAATGAAGGCCCAGATCGAGGAGCGAATGGCTGAGGCAGAAAGACGAAGGGAGGAACTACGAACCAAGAATGCGTCCAAGCGGAGTCGTGGGCAGAGTATTATGACCAGGAAGTCCACAGACCCCATGCCCGATGTCGAGCAAGAGAGACGCAAGCCCACCGAAGAGGAAGCCGCAAGAAGCATCCAGTGGTGGTGGCGTGGCTGCCTCCGAAAGAGAGCCATCGCCGAGTTCAACAACCTTGGCTTGACCGTCGATGGTATCAGAGATACACACTTCGATACTGTTGTTGAGCTCCTGGCCCAGGAACGGGTCCTTGTCATTACGGCACAGTTGCTTAGACTATGTGGTCTTGAGGAGGGTGAAACAGGTTCGGTTGGCGAGATGACAGCCGTTCGCACTTTTCTCAGTGCCTTCCTGATCCTTGGTCATCCCAATCAAGTTCTCAGCAACAAAAACGACAATGGCGATGAAGACGTTGTGGATGTACTCACTTCTCATCGATTGCCTTCTACGGACCTCGCCAATCCTCAATTGCAGGACTTGGTTGGCAAGGCGCGAGACTTGCTCATTTCTTTTGAGAACATCCTCTCTCGCTTGACATCCGCCAACAAGTACACCATGCCACCTGCGCTCAAGAAGACACTCCCTGAGGCGTATGCCACTTTCTACAATGCTTTTATCGCTTGGAAGTCTCGGGATTCTAATGCCTTGATTGAGGTTATGCTCATGCAGTTTGTCGAGCTTGACGCGATCTACCATACCGTCAAGGATACAACTGACGATGCTGCCACGGCTCTTTACAAGAAGAGCATTCAAGACAATCAGTTGATGCTCATAGTGCGAATAAAGAAATTGGCAGGTGCAGAAAAGGGCAAAAAGATGATCTTCGACGCGGTAGCCGAAGCCCGCAAAGCTCGCTCTGCCAAGAAGAAGACCGGAGACACAAAGCCCCGTGTGGCTGAGAACGTACCCGGAGAAGCATCTGAGACAGCCAACAGCCTAGTCTCGTCCGAGTCGCAAACGCTGACTCCTCCTGCGACACCAGCCAGCAAAGCCCAGGAGAAGGCTCCTGCGCCCAAGACCGGCCTCAATGGTCTGTTGCCTAACAACAGGATTGTGGTGCATGAGTTGGCCATCAATAAGGAATACCAGCTCTCGCCTGACGAATACCGAGAACAGCAATCGGAGCGTTCGAAATTTATCTACATGAAGATGCGGACCACTATGAGAGATGACGATAGTGGGATTAATTTCCAGGTTTTCGCTCTTATCGCAAGCTACATCAAGGAAAGGCTCCAGCGTCTGCTCAAGCCGGGCAACTCCATGTATAACCTCATCGGTGAAATTCTGGACCCAGAGATGGCAGAGCGGCAATTCGCCCTCGGCAACTTCTCATATGAGAAATTCTTCACTGCCATGTCGTCACTTCTGCCCAAACTCTGTGCCCCTTTCCGCGATGAAGAGGTTCAGGACTTGATCCAGAACAAGCTGGCAGACGGTGACATCATCGATCGAGTTGAGGCTCTCAACGGGTTCATTGATGTGATGCTCTGCGACTACATCAATTATCTTTTGAGAAGCGCAGCCCCTCAGCTTATCCAGTCCGCGGCCCCATACGAGGCCAAGAGGTTCGCCGAAGACGTTGAGAAAGGTCAGCTTGGCCTTGCAGCAGCTGAGGCGACATGGAAGGCTTCCCGAGCAAAGGTTCTTGCAGAGGTTCAGAAGAGGGATCCGGAGGGAATCAACCATCCGAGGTCGCGACCGAATGCTGGAAAGTTCTATGCGCAGATGCTCGTAGACATCTTTACTAGGATCTCCCCCCCACCCATTGAGGAGGTGCCAGAGATGCTTCGACTGGATTACAACCGCATCGGCCAAGTCTCTACCACTATTCAGCGAGTTATTACCGCCGGCGCTGTCCTGCTGCAGTGCAAGAACCTCTTGAAGCGGGATGTTCGGTCTTCGTGGAAGATGGAAGCGTCACGCATCATGGCTGTTCTCGAGGCTGGTCATCCTCTCCAAGCTACTGTGGACGGCGTCATGGCTGCCCTGGAATCTGGACGATCGATGCCGACGGCAACCAAGAGCCACCTCCGCGCTCTTGTTACCAAGGTTTTGACTGCTAGTCAAGACATGGCACAGAACGGAAACGAGCCTAGAGAACCTGTCTTGCGACTTCTGCTCACTCGTCTTCGTAGCAACATTCTTGCGCGCCTCGCTGCTGGATCAGCAAGTGAGAAAGTCAAGGCGGCCAACACGGCTGGCGAGAAGCTAGCCAGCCTCGGACTCTCTGAGTTTGTTGATCGAGTTAGAGAGATTTCGAACCTATTGGAGAAGATTGGAACGGTTGACAGAGCAGCCCATGGGCCTTGGTGGGATGCCGTAGCAACAAAGGTTGAGCAAGAAGAGATGTCGACTTAGACG